AGAGAGAGAGAGAGAGAGAGAGAGAGAGAGAGAGAGAGAGAGAGAGAATGTGACAGGGTTTCACTATGTAGACCAGGCTGGACTCAAACAGACATCTGGCTGTTCCTCCCTCTCAAATGCTGGGATTAAAGGTGTGCCACCATGCCTGGCCAGTTCCCAGGAGTCTCTTTGTAACCATCTCAGAGGACTTGTTTTTTGTTTTTTTTTTTGTCTGTGGTCTCACTATGTGGTATCTGCCTCAACTCCACCTTCTTTCTGGTACCTTTTTTTCTTTCTTTCTTTTTGTTTTTTGGTTTCTCAATATAGGGTTTCTCTGTGTAGACTTGGCTGTCCTGGAACTCACTCTGCAGAGCAGGCTGGCCTCAAATTTATAGAGATCCGCCTGCCTCTGCCTCCCAAGTACTGGGATTAAAGGGAGCTTTCTAAAGCATGGTCTTTGGCCTCCCTCCTCTCTCCTTTACTCCCTTTCCCTTCCTTCCTCCCTCCCCTGCTCTTCTACCTTCCTTGGAGCTTGAGCAACCACAACAATAAAATCGGCCTCTTCATGACTTTCCTACCTGCTTTTGGCTGGTAGAATCCTTGTTTGTTTGTTTGTTTTTGGGGGGTATTTCCATCCTGAAGTCATTCTGTCCACAGTCATCCTGCAGTTGGACCAGGCTTATGCTGAGGTGTGGGAGCTCTTGGTGGTCTGCCACGTTCTTCACCCTGTCGTGCTTCCACAGGACTGTGTTCCACACACAGGCTACCTGGAGGCCATTTTTTCTCGCTGTCTAGTCCTCTACAGTCCTGTCCTCCCTGTCGTCAGACAGGGCAAGGCCCAGCCCACCTCTTTTTCTTCAGTCTGAATTCATAGCTGTATTTCACTTACTCTTGTGCTTGAGCAGAGTCCTTTGAAAACATTTTTATTTATGATTACTGTGTATGTGTGTACACATATGTACCTTTAGAGGTCAGAGGGCAGCATTTAGAAATTGGTACACCCACAAACATACATACACACACTTTTAGCTCAGATGGCCAGGTTTGCCTGAGGAGTGCTTTTGACCCTGGCTCCTGGAGCAGAGTTCTTTCTTTAACTCTGAAATTATGGAAAGAATATATGTCACAACAATATGGACTTTCTGAGCCTTAGGTTGATCAGATTGGAAGAGAGCATTGGAAGAGAAACTGCCTCAGATTCTAATCTTGAAGACATAGTCATCATTTTTACTGAAACAATTAGAGATATGTAGATATATGTTTCTGTGAGCATTCTCATGTAAGGAATATTGGATGAGAACAGGTGAATCCAAAGCTTAAAGAAAAACAAAAGGATATCCTCGTGTCACATACACTCTTTTAACATTCTTTTCACAGTTATGCACACACACAATATAGATGTACATATATGTATATGCATACATACTATATAATTTATATACAGTACATAGGGTTATACATAGTGATATATATATATATATATATACACATGTATAGACATGAATAAACATATATGTGTGTGTTTCTGGTTTCCATTGTGTAAGATGTTTTTTGTTATTTTGGTTCTTCGAGACAAGGTTTTTTTGTGTAGCCCTGGCTGTCCTGGAACTCACTCTAGACCAGGCAGGCTGGCCTCGAACTCACAGAGATCCACCTGCCTCTGCCTCCCGGGTTCTGGGGTTAAAGGAGGCATGCCCCACCACCTAATGGCTGTTGCTCAGTGGATTATTATTATTATTATTATTATTATTATTATTATTATTATTAAGTGGATTATTATTGTAGCAGCACCGTGAGGCCAGACCATCACCACTGCAAGCCCCGTGCATGGTTGACCCAAAGAGAGCCATGCTTGTAGTTCAGCAGCCTGTACACCAAGGATGACCCATAGGACTAATTGAAGGATGCAGAAAATAACTTTATGGATGAATTTAAACTTTAGACAGAATTCCCTTTGCAGCCACAAATAGCAGGGCTATTTTTATTGTAGCATGCACAGAAGATGGAACTCAATATTAGAAGAAGTGCTTTATTTCGCCAAGACAGCTCACACTCAACACAGTCCTTGTTTTTCTTGGCAGGAACGTCTCAGCCATCTGTGAGTCCAGGGGAGCCGTCTCCCCCATCCATCCATCCAGCGCAATCAGAGTTAATAGTCGAAGCTGGTGACACGATCAGGCTAACGTGCATTGATCCCGACTTCGACAAATGGACTTTTGAGACCCTCGATCAAGTGCGTGAGAATAAGCGCAGTGAATGGATTCAGGAAAAAGCCGAGGCCACTCACACGGGCAAATACACGTGCGTCAACAGTGGCGGCCTCAGGAGCTCAATTTACGTGTTTGTTAGAGGTAAATGCTGGACTTTGTGTGTGGCTGCGCAGAGAGTGTTCGGTACCCTCTTCTTACTTTCAGGTGACCTGTAGGTGGCCAAACCACAGGCAGAATTTTGCTGGCTGGTTCTAAAAGGCCTAACGTAAATGTTTTCCTCCGCTGGCTTCCAAGATCAAGATCGTTTGATTCACAGTGGCTTTGAGTGTGACCCCAGCTGGGGTCTGCAAGGCCTGTAACTGGATTACAGTCTGGTTAGCCCATTTGTCCTGGTGCTTGGAGTCAACCCTGAGAATAAATTAGGCCCTTTGGGAAAACTGCATTTTAATGCCTTGAGATACTAAATATTCCCACTTAGTAAAAACACTTCAGAGAACCAAAGGCCTCAAAAGGCCTGAACAGACTAGCACTTCAAAGGACTTGGCCCACCCTTAAGGGAGTAAATTCCAGAAAAACAACTCAGACAGCTAAGCATCCCTTGTCAGTCGTAAGTTCTCTCGGAGTTCTTTTCAGCAGTTACAACCTCTTGGAAACAAAAGACAAAGCACGGTGACAGTTGGATTCCCATACCTCATTTTCTAGACAAATTCAGCAATTTGTGTGTGTGCTTTTGCTATCATCTCAAGAACCCGCAGGGTTGTATCCTTTGGGTGATGTAAAAACAAAACTAATGACAGCTTAAGAGACAGTTGAGAGGACAGGAAATGGAAGTCCTGGTTGTAGCGCCGGTTGTATCGGGACTGGGCCTGTCACTTATAACATGTGCACAATTCTGTGAGTATGTGGTAGGTGTAGTGCTTGTGCCTGGGAGATGTGCTGCCTAGGGCCGGCCTCCACTTCTCACTGTGGTCTTTAGATAAGACGAGCAGTCTCCCTTAGGGGATTGTTAGGGAAACACAATTATACAAATCTTAGCATGCTCAAACAGGGGTTAATAAAGCTGCCTCGGAGGATTGCCGTGAAATTGTGCCTCTGCCTGCTTTATCAGTTGTCCTTGCTTAAGTGGGCAGCTGAGCAGACATGCTCACTGATAAGCCACAGCTCAGCTTCAGGGTTCTGTCTCGGAATTGTGGAGCCCACCCCCCACGCTGCTGGTGACCTTGGAGATGGCGTTTTTTGGTAATTTCCAGGTGGTAACGAAAGTTACCATTTCAGCTTAACGATGGGCTGCGTAGACGCTGCTTGTCCGAAGAGGCTGCTGACTTGGCTGGAGCAGTCAGGGCCCACACAGTTGGACCCTTAACTAGTCTGTGCTGCTGGGAGGAAAGAAAGTGGCACTTTATGGAGTCTCTGCTCCCTGGTGACTGAGAAAGTATAGTTAGAAAACCAACTGTGGCTCCTGATCGTAATTTGGTCATGAAGGTTTGATTGTCTGTCTGTCTTTAATTAAATGATAAAACAAGTATATCTCAGTGGCAACAGATTCTGTTTGTGTGTATGTAATATTTGATTTCCAGGTGGAGAGGATAAATTTTAAAAGAGGTTTCAGGGGTCTGGAATGATAGCTTAGTCAGTGAGTGCTTGGAGGACCTACATTTGGTCCTTAATACACACATAAAAAGCTGCTGTGCTGGAGGCTGGTGTGGAAGCGTGGCCTTTGAGAGCACTTGCTGCTTTTACAGAGGACCCAGTTTGGTTCCGAGCACCCACACTAGGAAGCTCACAACCCCTTCCAACTCCAGCTGTGGAGATCTGATACCCCGTTCCAGTCTTCAGCCTGCATACACATGGTCCACATACAGACAAGCTAGCAATACCCATACCTGTAAAGTAAAAAGTAAAAAAATAGGGGCTGGATTGGCTGGGGGTTGAGAGCACTTCATGTTCTTCTAGAAGACCTGGGTTCAATTCCTAGCACCACCCACATGGCAGCTCACAGCTGTCTGTAACTCCAGTTCCAGTGGATCAGACACCCTCATCCAGACCCATGCAGGCAAAACACCAATCCACAGAACATACAAATAAATAAATTATCCTAAAATTTTTTTAAAAATTGAAATCCATTGTGTTGTGCAAGCTTGTGATAATTTAAGTCTTTTAAAAATGCTTTCGGAGAGCGGGATGTGGTGGTGTACACCTTTAATCCTAGCTAAGCTAGGTGGATCTCTGTGAGTTTGAAGGCAGCCTGCTCTGCAAGTTCCAGGCCGGCTAGGACTGCACAGTGAGACCGCATCTAAACAAACAAAAACAAATAGTGTTTCAGTGGCCCTGTCCAGCCACGCAACACACTGACTTTTGTTCTGCTTCTTAGATCCTGCCACACTTTTCCTGGTTCGCCTTCCCTTGTTTGGAAAAGAAGACAACGACACGCTGGTCCGCTGCCCTCTGACAGACCCACAGGTGTCCAGTTATTCCCTCCGGGAGTGTGACGGGAAATCTCTGCCCAGTGACCTAACATATGTCCCAAACCCCAAGGCCGGCATCACCATCAAAAACGTGAAGCGCGCCTACCACCGGCTCTGTCTCCGCTGCGCTGCCCAGCGCCAGGGCAAATGGGTGCTGTCTGAGAAGTTCACTCTGAAAGTGAGGGCAGGTAGGGCCTCTTTCTGACCTCGTGTGGGAGATGGAGACCCTGTGTATGGGGCAGACTTGTCTCTTCCCAGTTGGCCTAGGGCATTAGGATACAAGTTACTAGTAAGATCACCACCTTCCAGGTAATAGCAGGAGTTTGTGAATTCCTCTAGGGTGACAGCCCCATGGCTGTTGGTCATTAAACCTGCTGGTTTAGGGCATTCATCCCTAAGTGATACCCTTGCCACAAGTGTTCCTACTCAATGGGAAGATTTAGCCTGAGGAGATTAGATTACAAGGGGTTTATTCTTTAGTTTGCTGTGTACACATGACAGGATTCTTTTTTCTTTCGTTGGCTGGTTCTAATGAATTCCCAAGCCCTTCAAGCTCTGGGAAAGAAAGTGCCCCTGGCCTGTGGAACTTGCTGTGGCTTCCCATCGAACCTCTCAGTAGCCAGAAGATAAACCGGGCTTTATATCTGAGGTTATCTAGTTCAGTGTCACTTTGGGATTTCAACTGATAAGGAGAATTCTTAATCCGCTTTTGAAAAAAACCATACTCATTAAAATGAAGGAGATTTTAATTATGTAAAACCTGGACGTCTCAGAAGTAAGCAAGGTGTGATTGTGTAATGTATGGGAAAAGTACCCACTTGGCTAAAAGAATGTAATTAGCTGTAGGCTGGGTCCTCAAGAAACCAAGGGTATCCCAGGTCACGATGAAGCCAGCTTCATGTGATGCTAACCTCTTCCGCCTTTTCACCCAGTATGAGTGAATTTACTGAATGACTCAACTGGTGTTAATATTTTAGACACGTAAACAGTACAGATCGCTTAGTATGGTGCTGTGTGTTTTCTTTAATTATATAATGCAAGCTCTACACAGCCAAGAAAAAGCAAGCCTGGGTCTAGAGAAGAGGCTTCGAAGTGAAGAGTGCTCGCTGCTAAAAGCTCAGGTCAGACTCCAGCACCCACCCTGGGTGGCCTACATCTGCCTCTTAACGCCAGCTCCAGGGTATTCTACACCCTCCATTTGGCTTTCTCAGACACCCACACACATGGCATACACACAAAGATACGCACAAACAAATAAAACTAATTTTAACAATAGTAAAAAAGAGCCAGATACAGTGGCACATGCAGAGGCAGGTGGATCTCTGTGAGTTCGAGGCCAGCCTGGTCTACAAAGTGAGTCTAGGACAGCCAGCGCTATACACAGAGAAACTCTGTCTCAAAACAAAAACAAACAAACAACAACAAAAATGAAAGCCAAAAAGAAAAAAAAAAAAAAGCATGTTAAAAATAAGACAAGTTAAAATTCGTGCTATAATGGAATGTCTGACTTCAGGGCCACATGTTTGTTTTTTTTTTTTTTTTTTTAAATTCTAGCCATCAAGGCTCTCCCAGTTGTGTCTGTGAGTAAAACAAGTCAACTCCTTAGGGAAGGGGACAAGTTTACAGTGACATGTACCATAAAAGACGTGTCTACTTCCGTGGGCTCCATGTGGATAACTCAGGTGAGAGAACTCCTTTCGTTCCTATCACTGTGTTGCTGTCTGTGTGGGAGATCACACAGATTCCTACAAAACTGGCCTCCTCAGATGGTTCTGATATGGCTTGTTAGCAGCTGGCTGACAGCGCATTCACGCGATGTCTGCTTGTACCTATGACAACACACGTGTTCATTATTAGTGGCAAATAACTGCCGAGTTGTCACTACGGTTTGAGAAAAGAGGGCATCAGCATCACGTTATGACTTACCACTGTTTGTCCATTTGAAATGATTTTAGTAAGGAAGCTAAAAGACAAACCCGAACAAACGAATAGCTGTATAGCCTTCAGGTGAAACTATTGTCTACTTAGGGCACATGATAGAAAGAGTTGTGAGCACCCCTCCCCCCTCTCCTTTAGTGAGGAATGAATGGTGTCATGTATGCCCCAACACAGCTCTTCTGATCCCCACAGAATGGCCAGGTCATCTGGGAGATGGGGTTCTCTTTTTTTGTGCAGCTTGTATTTTCCCCTGTGAGGCTGGTTACCTGAGATTAAGTTGCTAATGGTTTTCCGTTTGTTTTTTGTTGCAATTAATAAAATGGTTATCTTTAATGTGAAACATTTGGACGTGTTTATGTTCTCATTCAGTTGACAAATATCTATCTAATGTCAGATACTGTGTTGGGCATATCTTAAATAAATTTTAGCCAGACTATCTCCCCCGCCCCCATCTCTTTTTGTTGCGTTGCTAAAACTTGAACCCAAAGACATTATGCCTGTGTAACCAATATTAGACAGTTTTATTTGGATATTTTCTTTCTTTCTTTTGTCTCAAATACTCAATAACAAGGTTTCAGAACTCTTAATTTTCCATTAAAATTCCCATTGACTGTGTTTTCTTTCTATTTTTAAGTACTTTTAGTGAGGCGATTCCCTAATCATAACTAGTTCCTCTTTATTTCACATGTGGGAATGTGAAATGGGAAAAAGCGAAATACATTTCACTGCTCCTCTTCCTCCTCCTCTTGGCCGGTGTTCAGCATCAGCAATTTCATGCCTGCATAAAGAATTCTGTGTTCAAGGCATAACCATGGTGAGCCCCATAATGACGGCATTTGTGCAGATCTTGATGGATGATATCTTTCTTGGTCTATGAAGCCTGCCACTGGCCTTGGAGAATGGATTGCACTAGAGACCCACGGCTCAGAGAAACAAGTTTTGGTTTTCAGACCATCTAATGTAATACAAATAATAGCTTCTGTATGGATTTTGGCCTAACCTTACAGAGCACAATCCCTTATTAATTGGCTTTCTATAATCCTCGATTTCAGATGAGAGAACAATTTAGACTCTGTGTGTGTGTACTTGAGCCGGTGTATACTTGAAAATTAGCCCTTTTAAGATGAGAAATTCAATTGCCCCAAGCAGTTTTGTTGTGAACCACGTTTCCCAGGAGCCCTGCATGCCATTCCCAATTAACCCACTGGCGATGGCAGCTAAACCTTTAGTATTAGAAAGTCTTCAGGGAGATCCCAGTGTGTGCCTCCAAGGGTTAAAGAAAACCAAATCATGTGCAGACAGCATGCAATGTGTGACTTGCAGATGGGACTCTTGGCTCTCCGCCAGGGTTCACCATGAATCTTTTATTGATCCTTTGGCATAATTTGGAATGCTGTTAGCACTATCAGATTATTTTAAAAGTCCATTAGTGTTTGGTCTTGACCATTTAGAGGAAGTTTCACTCATGAGAAACTGAGGCCAGTCTTAAGTGTTGTGATTATTTGTTTAGGGTTGCAAGTCTTGGGTTTTATACAAGGCATGTTCATGCTGGCTCTTCCGATGCTCCCAAATACTAACGTTCCTGTTCCCTTTCAATGCTGAGTTCGGTGGTGTCGGCATGCTAAATTATGATCTTTGACCTTGGGGGTTGCTTGAACATCATTTTTGACCAAGCTATTTTGTTCTGCACCGACCATCTCAGAGTTTGTGCTTGGCGCCCTGTTGGGGTCTCTCTGGCTCTAGGAGGAGGTGGTGTCCCATCTGTTCTTTATCACTGTGGCTATGGAGAGAAGTCAGAAACAGTGGCCTGAAGGCCAGCAGGAGAGGATGTCGCATGTCGTTCGCTTTGGTTTGGTAGTGATCCTATGCACTGAAATGGGAGATTTCTACCACTTAGAAACACCTCACAGAAGGGATGGCTTGGGATCTGCAGGGAACCATATTGGGAAGGCATTTAAAGCCCTGTTTGTTAATTCACACTCTGTGGAAACAAAGGCCAAGGCCAGGTGGGTCTTTGACTTGATCAAGAGCTCACAGCTCATTAATTGCCAAACTGATTCTCTTGCTTTTAACGAGTCTGGGGCCATCAGCTTTTATGTATGCTTATTTAAGTGTATCAGGATTCCAGACCCTGTGGGCTGAGTGTTAGCTGGAGAGCAGAGCTCTTGCTTTGCCTGTGTGAGGCCTTCAGTTCCCAGCCCTGAAAAGAAAATTTTAAACTGTAATTATATGAGGAAAAAAGAGAAAGGCATTGTCTACATAGCTAGCAATGCTGTATATATAATAGAAATGTAAGGCAAGATTCACGGGCCATTTAAATTTTTCTGATAAGGACATTCCAAAAACAAGTGGTTTTAATGACCTTTTTGACCCAGTAATGTGAAATAGTATTATTTCCTACTAAAATTAACAAAGAAGTTATTAATAATGTATTTTGCATCTTATAATTCTAAGTAGTCATAATCTAGGATATATTTTATGCGGACTCAAAACTACATTCTGAAGCATTTGAAGTACTCCATGGTCACAAGTGGCTAGTCCTTCTTACTGCCAGGTCGCCCATATGTTTTCCATGTTTCTCTTTTCCCCATGTGCACGCATTAGCACCTAAGATGGATGCTTTGTTTGTGATAGATTCCTCTCTGTTGTAACCCAAGCTCCTCTTGAACCTATAGCTTTCTGACCTTCTCTGCTCCCAGGTGTGAGCATTACCTATGTGAGCGACCTTGTCTCCTTTTTTGCTAAGTAATAGAAACATTTCTCTCATTTCCTGCAAGTCATAATCTTTATTGCAACATTTACCTGATGGATATTCTTGTCCTCACTGCAGTCAGTATCATGGAATTTTCCTTAGGCACAGATGTTCTGAGGGTCTCAGTGTCCTGCCAAGCTCCTTTCCAGCACTGTCACCATTACCAGCACCTGGCTGCTGGGTTCATGCTGCTGGGGCAATATAGCTGGCCATTGCCCTTGGTCTTTGCCAGTATCCGCTCCTGCTTGCTTGCTGTAATCGAGGTTGTTGTTTTCCTGACTGTAATGGGAAAGTGTGCACACAGCAGGAAATTTGGAAGACGCAGAATGCAGAGTTAGACTTCTTTGAATGTTTTCAGTAGAGCTGCCTATATTGAAGTTTTCCCCATGATATTTCCTTTGCAAATATCTCTCCATGTCTGGTCTGCAGATAGATCACAAGAGTCACACAAGGGCAGTGCCACGGTCCTTTCCTGTCAGCTTGCCCAAATGCTTTGTGATATGGTCTTGTATGTGTCATGGGCCTCATCCCTTGAGTAGTTGAGAAAATCCTACTGAGATGATAAATGTGACGGTGAACTCCAAGTCAGTTACACATATTCTGATTCTGATTTTGTTTTTGAAAGATGCTAAATATTAATTTAAAAGGTTATATATTTCCTTTCAGTCCTTAGATGCACCCATAAAAAGGGTAGAGGGATGGTGGCTGGGGACATGGCCCAGTTACAGAATGCTGGCCTGGCATGACGAAACCCTGGGTTCAATGCACAGGACACCGTAAACCAGGCCTGATGGTGGCATGTGCCTGTGTTCCCTGCCCAGGTAGCTCAGAAGTTCAAGGTCATTCTCTTACAACGGTAATTAAAATTTACCCTAGTTTACATGGAGATCCTGTCTCACAAAACAAACAGAAAATGTTAATATGACATAAGTGTGCTGACTCATCATGAAAAATCAGTATTCTGTAATATTCTGTAGTGACTACCAAAATTTAATACAGCAGAGAACTTAGAATGACTTTCCCATTTTTTTTCCAATCATTCATAATGACTATCTTTCAATATAATCCTGTGATATGAAGGGTTCCAGTGACAGGCTTGTCGTGACACTTTTTTTTTATCCCCCTCAGTAGCGTATAACGAATGCTAATATGGAGAAGCTAATTGCCGCTATTTTTAATTTAGGAAAGATCCTGAATATAAATCATATGGTAATCTTTGATTTTTTTTTCCCCTTCCCTTCTGAAATCCTCAGACTAAAGCACAGGAAAAACGTAACAGCTGGCATCGGGGGGACTTTGACTACGAACGCCAGGAGACGCTGACTATCAGCTCAGCAAGAGTTAATGATTCTGGAGTGTTCATGTGTTATGCCAATAATAGTTTTGGATCAGCAAATGTCACAACAACCTTGAAAGTAGTAGGTAAATATCTCTATGGAATGTATAAATTACCAGCAATAGGGAAAAGAGAAATTACTAGATAATTTTCTTTTTATGCAAATGGGATTCTAGGAACCGGTTCTTAGAAGGTGTTATCACCAAATGAATGAATGAGTGAATGAATGAATGGTATCCTTGGAGGAGCTTGTTGCCAACACAACACAAAACCAGATCCTACCAGCTTACCCAAAAGACAGTGGCGACCTGTTACTCTGCTCCTACCTTCCCTTCCCCCTCAAGCAAAGCATACACTCAGTTTCCCCTCACGTTTCAGTCCTAGCCAAGTGGTTCAAGTTTGGAAATGATCATAGATGTTCTTTGTCAGGCCTCAGAGATGAGTAGAGGAGCCTGAGTAGTTCTCTGTCTTCTGGCACGTTATTTTTCAGTTGTCAGTTCCTTTGTGGTCTATGCTGAATTGAGCTTCTCTGGCCTCTTGGCTCTTCTCCCTTTCTGAGGGAGAGGCAGCATGTAGTAGGTTCCTTTTTTATGTTTTTAATTTATCTCAAAAAATTTATTTTTGAGATAAATTAAATGAAATATTTATTTCATTCCTAGTTTTTTGTTGTTTTGGGGTTTTTGTTTTCTGGATGTTGTTTGAGTTCACCTATTTTTTTTTTTTTTTAAGATACCATTCCATCTTTATTGTAATCGACACATAAAATTATATATATTTTCATGCCTCTTTAATGCAACCATTTTCTTGGTGCTTGCTTTTGATAACACTCATGTAGAATGATGAAACTCATCTTTGAAGTAGTAATAAAGCAATGCCATGTTTGTTTTGTCTCTCCCCCACCCTAGATTTCAGTGATTTATGGAACAGAGCTCTGTGATCCCCCCCCCCCCTTTTCTGGTAGTAACATCATAAAAATTTGGTATTTCTGCCCAAGTTCTAATGAAAAGTCTCTCAACACAGAGAAGACACTTCGCTTATAATTATATAGTCATCACACAGAAAGTGTACTTCTCTGTCCCCAACTGTGATCGTGAGCCATTTATTACTTTGAATAGAAGGCTATGCTTTTAAAATATTAAACTCCATAAGCACTAATTTGCTAAGTTGATTAGAGAGCATGTTGATATATCCTCTTCAGCTCCAGAAAGCAATTAGTAAGGATGTTTTGAGCATATTGTTGTATGTAATCGGATTTTAAAAAATCCATTCATCAGTTTCCAAGAATTAGAAATGTGTGACTGGAAAGCCCTGTGGCTGTGAAATCCGAATCTGGTTTTATTGAGGGTCAAGAGCAGGCTGTGGTGGGACAGGAACAGGAAGAGACAAAGACAGGGTAATTCTGTAGGGACTAGGAGTGGGTTCAGATTCAACCCACAGGGATGGGGGAGAGAATTAGACTTTGGGACTATGCTGATTTTGTTTTTTTTTTTTTATGGTTTAGAATTGTGTACAAGGCGCATAGCATGATGTTACAGGGATGCATACAGACCGTAAAAACATTACTATAGTAGAGTAAATAAATATATCCACCATCTCCTACAGTTTGGTTGTTTTTGTGTGGGTGTGTTTGTAAGCATGAGTGTGCATGCTTGTGCAAGAGCAGATAGAATCTGACCTGGTTTGGGGGTTAGGGTTCTGCTACTTCTCTTTCTATCGTACCCCAGTTTTTTTCTCTGCATTTCCTCTCAGAAGAAGTAGCCGCCAGCCTCCACAGCATTGGAGATAGAGAAAAGGCAGATTTTATTAGAGTGTGAGGCATAGAGTTTGAACCTTATTAAGAGTTAACAGATCACCAATTTCTTGATGCAGAAGCACTTGAAAACATTAAACTTTTATGTTACAGCAATTTGGTTAGGGTTCCTTTTTTTTTTTTTTTTTTTTTTTTTAATGTTATGGCACCTAAGAGAGTCTTAGCAATTCTTACATTATAGGAATTTAAAGCCTTGTTGTTTCACCATGTAGCATAACCCTATGATATTGTCAGCCTTTCTTACTATGACAGAAAGCCTGACAAACGGTTTAAGGGGGGAAAGGTTTTCCTCAGCTCTTGGTTCTGAGTCTGTAGACTTGAGACAGGCTGGAACATCACAGGAGGAGCAGGTGGCGGAAGAAAGACGTCCGTCTGCCTTACGGACGCCCAGAAGCAGAGAGCAAGCCTAGAAAGGCCAGGCACAAGACAGAGTTTTTAGAGGCATACCCCCAGAGGCCCATGTCCTTCAAAAATCCACCCCCACGATGGATATCCACTGATGAACTTAGAACCCTCATGACCCAGTTACTTCCCACAAGCCCCGTTTGCTAGCAACCAAGCCTTTAACACTTGTGTTCTTCATAGTTAAATCCTAACACCTACGGAGCAAGGTTAGACTCCAGGAAACTGAGGACTGCTTCCATAGTTTATTGGTAGTAGCCATGGCATTTCTCCCATCGTGGAGGATCTGAATATATGACCTTGGGTAGCAATACTGATTCTTTTAACACAGCAAGATTTAGCAAACAGCAAAAGCCCCCTCCTTGTCATGAAGAGCGGCAGGAATTATGTCCTTAGTATGTTAGGAAAGGGCCAGTTCCAAGCCTTTATTTTGGATGATTTTTTTTTTTTTTCATTTCTTACTGAAAATAATCCCTTCCAGATAGGCTCATTATCTAAGAAGACACTACTACACTAGATTGCATTTTTGACTTTGAACCATTAGGCAGCCAGAGGGCATTAAAAAAAAAATAAAAAACTGCAATGACAGCCTCTTGTGCATGCATAGATAATGGCAAAGTTAGTGAAAGTTTACAATTAATTTTAAGCATTTGAAATTGAAATAGAAAAAAATTTAAACTCTAACTTGATGTAGCTATTTTTTTAAAGATTTGAGTATTTTGCTTTTATTTTTGTATATGAGTTTTCAATTATACATACAATTTTATTCATAGTCTTATTTTTCCTCACTTAAAATGTATACAGCCTCTAAAAAAAGAGACCATTCTTGGCTTCTCTTAGACCCATGTTCAATGCTAGACTTCGCCTATATGGCTTTGGATCCAAATATAAATCATTGATTTCATCTATAAATTAAAGATTTACAAGTATTACCTATAAATTAGTTATCATTAAATCTCTAATGTAGGGCTGGGAGATGGCTTAGTGGGGTAAGAACACTTGTTCCGCAAACCAGAGGAACTGAGTTCAAATCCTCAGCACTGACATAAAAAACAAAACAAAACAAAACAAAACAAAACCCAAGCATGGCTGTGTGTGACTATAAATAACCTCCATACTTAGGAGAGAGATGGTAGGCAGATCCGGAGAGCTCCCTGGCCAGCCACTTGCTGAAATGGTTAGTTTTTGACTCAGTGAAAGACCCCTGGAGTCCCGCTCTAGGCTGACAGGAGATTCCGTTCTACACTCTTTTTTTTTTTTTTTTTTTTTGGTTTTTGAGACGGGGTTTCTCTGTGTAGCCCTGGCTCTCCTGGAACTTGATCTGTAGACCAGGCTGGCCTTGAACTCTGCCTCCAGAGTACTGGGATTGAAGGTGTGCATCACCACCGCCCCGCTGGTCTCCGCACTCTTAATGTGCACGTACCATATACACAGACAGCAAACACAACACACACACATGCACAGAAAAGCCCTAAAACCTGTTTTTCATCTATACATGAGAGGCTACAGCTCTATGTTCCAGAAGCATTGTAAGCATAAATGTCATAATTATTAAATAAAAATGTGGGCTGAAGGGCCCGAGGCCCATCTTGGCACATTTTAAAGTGTCCCCTAAATGGTGGCTATAAGAATAAAATCAGCAATTAGCTTATTGCTCTTTCTCAAGCTCACTCTTGGATTATTACACAACCATTTCTAAGGCGGCGTTATTTACTTCGCCAGTGGTCTGTCGTTTCGAGAGTTATTGTAACCTGTCCAGAGAGTACTCTGTGCATCCATAACCCATTTTAAGAAGAGCCCTCGAGTGGAAATTATAGGATTTAGACTTAAAAATAGATAATTTAAAAAAAGAAGAATCTCGATCGCTAACTGGTTTCTGAGAAGAAGCGTGCCAGTTTGTCGTGTGCGGCTCTTCGTGCCACTTCGAGCACACTCGAGATCCCTGTGGGTTTATTTTAAATTAGTTTTGCTATTTTTAATAAATGGAAAGTGCCATCCATGGTTTAATTACCAGTTTAGCTAAACATTCTTTCTCCCGTTACCTTCATTCAAATTTACCCTTTAAGATATTTTCCTTTTGTCGCTTCCAAAAAGCACCCATCCCTGTCCACCCCCTCTCTGCTTTTCATGTGTCATCTGTTGTCTGATTGATGGCCTGTGGTGTGAAGGGTGATATGAAGGGTCATGCACGTGGTATGAAGGGTCAATGCTCATTTTCTTCAAATAATTTTTTTTTTTTTTTGCAGCATTTTTATCACATATGAGAGCTTATTCTCTTGACTCAGTAGCATTTTCTTCCTACATTTGTAATTCTTCTGGGTTTAGGTAGGGGCTATTTAGCAACATATCTTGAACTTGAGCCTCCTAGCGTGCAGACAAGTGGATGGAGAAGACCTTTTAGGGAATTGCCAGTGAGGCAGCAGCCCACAGGGCAGGATTTAGTGTGTGCCCTGCCTCACCCAGGACGCCATGAAGCACAAGGGAGGGTAACGCAGGGCTCACGGCGCATCCTCTCACCTGTTGCCCGTCAACGCTGGAGGTCTTCACTTTTGTGACTCTGAAGTGACGTGTGTGCTCTTGTCGGTTGCCAATATTGATTGCCGCCTTATTTTATCACGCTTAGATAAAGGGTTCATTAACATCTTCCCCGTGAAGAACACCACGGTGTCTGTCAACGATGGAGAAAACGTAGATCTGGTGGTGGAGTATGAGGCCTACCCCAAACCTGAACACCAGCAGTGGATCTACATGAACAGGACCTCCACCAACAAGGGGGAAGATTATCTGAAAGCCGATAACGAAAGCAACATCAGGTAAGAAAGGGACCTGTGCCCTTTTCCCCCGCCATCCTTCCCGGGTCGGCTTCTGGTGACCCAGCAGTGCCTGGGAAGGTGCCAGTTGAGGAAGTACACCCAGGGCTACCTCTGTGCCCTCAGCCAACAGTCCCATTTTGCTGTGGGTTCAGAAGGTTCATGCCTCAGATGCAAATGTATGCTGACTCGATTTCTCATTTGGGAAGTGGGGGTTGACTTTTCTCTTAGTTTTAATGGTAATCTAAAGCAATGACTAGCATATCTTCAGGACATAATAATTCTCCTTAGAAAGACAGGGAGGTTGGGATTGTTACTACATTATTAAAACTCTGGCAACTGTGGATCGTTAAGCTTCAGGCCAGGCGATTGATTTTTTTTTTTTTTTTTAAATCAGAATCTCTTACTAGATCGTCAAAACATTGTAATTACAATAGTAGCTGTAATAATACCTTATGTGCTTTTAATTGTTAGCACATATACCTTACACAAACCAGCATAAAGCCTTAGCTCTTAATTTTTTTTTTTTCATTTAATTTGCTATTGTGTGGGGGTATGTGATGATGCAGGGATGTGATGTCATGTATCCCAGAGTGCATGGGAAGGTCAGAAGACAACCTTTGGGAGTCGGTGCTCTCTTTCACCTTTATGTGCAGTCCAGGGGTCAAACTTGGGGGACTTGCACTGAAGGTATCTTTAGCATCTCACTGACCCTGTAGCACTCTTAATTTCCTCCATCTTTTTGGCAGAGGAAGCCAAGGCACAGAAGGGTGAGGTGATGTGACCTAGATCAGATGACGAGTAAGGAGCTGGTAGCTGGATAGAGTTCATGTTATTCCATTCAGGAGCTGCTGACTATTGCATAAACACAAGCGAGGACTGATAGGCTAGCCTGGATTATTGAGGGTTGGGCTGAAGAGGGTGGGTATGGCTTGTACCCAGGTAGGAGAGGAGTGGCCGAGGTGAGGCGCTTCTTAGGTTGGGCTCTTGCATGCCAGCTGAGTAAGGACCTTGAGGAACTCTACGCTGAGCCTCTGTACCTGCCTACTCAAGGTGACCCTTGGGTGAAGGTTATAGATATGAAGTGTCCTGAACTGTACCCACAACAGGGGCCTGTGGGGACAGCCCTAGAGGAGGCACAGGACTGAGGCACCGGCACAAGAGGCTGAGATTAGAAAGTTTGATCTAGTAGCAGGTGATTGAATCTGAGCAGGCTGTCAGACCACTGAGTGTGGCGAGTTGGCCATGGCCAGCCCAGTGGATTTGTCCATCTAGATCTTGCACTAGCTTAAGCATTACACGGAGTTCCTTCCTCACAACCGCCCTGTAGATCTCTGGGCAGAGCAGATACTTGAATTAACAAATACTGCCGGGGCCTCTGGGGAAAAAAGTCTGGGAGTAAAAGGAAAGCCAAGAATAGTGTTATTGACAGAAGCAAGGAAGGGTGATAGTGGATAGAGGTGGAGACTTCATGATTATGTGGATCCCAAGGGCCTAAGAGTTGATGTGAAGATCGAAGATGAGCCAGGCTAGGTGGCGCATGCCTGTAATCCCAACACTCAGGGAGGCAGAGGCAGGTGGATCACTGTAAGTTCAAAGCCAGACTGGTCTATAAAGTGAGTCCAGGACACCCAAGGCTGCAAAGAGAAACCCTGTCTTGAAAAAGAAAAAGAAAATCAAGGCTGTGTGCAGGCTCCTGAGCTAGGGTTTCCCAGGACAGAGTACAGGGTATGCCTACAGTATGGGCAGAGGAGGAAGTGGTCATGAGGGTGGCCTGGGACAGTGGCCCCAAAGGTGCGGCTAGCCTATTTGTGTCACATGCAGGCCTTTGTCCCAAATAGAGTGACTCTGTGTGTGTATTCATGCCTGTGTCTAGTGTGTGTGGCATGCCTGTATACATGCCCATCTTGTTAACACTGAATTAAGTGATTCTTTGGTATTTCCCTCCCCACATAGGCACTCTTTCCAGGTAGGAGCAGGGACAGAGAATTGCACTCTAGGACAGACTCCACAGGGGGTTGACTTACTGTCCTTCCTTTGTAGATACGTGAACGAACTTCATCTGACCAGACTGAAAGACACAGAAGGGGGTACTTACACCTTCCTGGTGTCCAACTCGGATGACAGTGCTTCCGTGACATTTAATGTTTTCGTGAACAGTAAGTAAATCGCAGGACCCCTTATCTTTTTATTTGGTGTTATTGCACGCTGCAGCCCATGCGTATAACAGCTGCAGAGCTGCGTTCCTTGTGTGCTATGTAAATAATGTTTCATGATAATTTTGACCTTAACAAAGACCTCGTGGTTTGGTGGCTGGAAGAGAAACCGACTCCCTGTCCTACATTTCAGTGGCCACATGACCTTGTAGAAGTGCTGTGAATATCTGAGGGCTGCCTTTGAAGCAAACAGGGGCCAAAGAGGCTGAGATTAGCAGCTGTTTAAGAGAAACTGTATTATTATTGATCGTTGGACTGGAGAGCCAGATGTTGAATAGGAGCTGGTGTTTGCCATTGGGTGGGAGAGAGATACTGTTAATCCCTAACAAGAATTTCCTCTTCTCCAGCACTTTCTCTCTTCAGCCTGTGATATACTGTTTGTGTCCAAGGCTGTTCTCCCACTATGATCAATGGGATATTGACCCAGCTCTCAACGGGTCGCTCCTCAGTACTTTAGGAGTGCTGGGAGAGCAAGCAGCCACTGGTTTGGTGGTGGTGGTAGGGCAGTTGTCTGTAGTCATGGGAACCTCAAAACCCCAATACTGAAGTCCTGCACTGCTATGGTTCTTTGAGGGAATTATCTCTGCAGAGGCAGAGGCCATGCAGGCAGGAGGAGTCAACCTTTGCTGCAGCTTCTGCCAAGTGCAGGCCTCTCCTTGGCTCTGTTCTGGGTCCAGCCTGCACTGACAAGGAGTGGTGGACACCATTATATCTACCTGAGTATTCCAGAAGACAGCCCAGTGACTAACTGTTAGGGTGTGTGTGATCTGGGAAGACAGTGGAGCATTCCTGTGTTAGTTACTTGTTGCCGAAAGAGAATGATACACCAGCAGCTAGAGAAAAGGGCTTTTTTGATTCTTGCTTGCAGGAAATAATAGCTCATCTCGGCAGGGAGGGCATGGCTTTGGGGTTTGGTCTGTGGCAGTAGGTGTTTACAACTTCACCTTATAACTAATCAGGAAGTCCAGGCTGGAAGCCAGGCTCCAACCCTCAGTGGCCTGCCTCAGTGACCTCTGCTATTCATGCTTCCTGCCCTGTAGGTTCCTGGATGCCACCACCAGGGAGGATCAAGCATCCAAATGCATGCACCTGTAGGGATATTTCAGCTCAAACCAGAATAATTCCCTAACAAGAACAACTTAGGAACTGGGCTATAAGGGGTGGGGTTGGGGGTAGGGGAGAAGATCTTCCCTCCCCTGGAGCAGCCTACCTGCTGTGGTTTCACCTCTATTTTTCCCATTTGTCCCTGCCCTGCTCTGGTAGCAGGTTGGGAGTGGTCAGATCTATTTGTGAATGAAAAAGAGCAGCTGGTAAAGCACTACTCTGGACGCTTTTTCACTGCAGTCTAGAGTGCTTGGCTGTATCAGCACGTCTAGAATTGTGCTTCCCTTGTTAAGAGGGTGTATCAGTCAAAGTTCTCTAAAGGAACACACGCACACACGCTTAGATCGCCTTACAGAATGTTGTCGGTGTGGTCCAGCAGTGGCCGTCTCATTCCGTTGGCCAGGCCGACTGTCTCGGCAGTTCTACCCTGATCAGGGCCAGGAGGAGCCCCAGAGAGCCCTGGTCTTCAGTCTACATTGGAATCCTGAAGGAGACCCAGATTTTGGGTGGGTTTTCCTGCTTCAAATAATCTGATCAAGGAACTCCCTCAAGACCAGCCTGGTCTTGACAGTGAGACCCTGTCTCAATCGGGAGAAGTGTCACATGCCAATAATTAAGGTTGGTTGGTTTTGGTTTTTTGAGTCAGGGTTTCTCTGTGTAGCCTTGGATGCCTGGACTGGCTTTGCAGACCAGGCTGGTCTCGAGCTTAATTAAGTACTTTTGTGTTGCTGACTTTTTAATCTACTGATGTATCATGTATGTCCTTAAGAGGAGGGCAGGGTGTAGGGTGGAGCCAGTGGTCCCAAACTCTGGAACACAGAGTGACACCCTTCCAAAGGAAGTGTTAATTAATATTTCTGTTCCTGAGAACAGTTTTGATTATTTGGTATCTCATTGGCCTTCAATTCAAATATTTCTAGATTAATTCAGATGTTAATCAAGGGAGCTTAATATATTACACATAGGCAAAATTACCTACTTCTGAAAACCTTAATATTCAACTAATTTAAGAGACGACCATAGGCAAATCAGTATCTTTGCAAGCATAATGTGCAAACTGTTCATGCAAAAACTTGATTCTGAGTGTAGTAGGCCTCTCTCACCTACCTGCTCCAAGACCCTCAATCCACTGCAGGTCTGTATTCCCAGAAAATATAGTAAGAGCCAGTTTCTAGAAAGTCAAAACAAAGAAACAGGTAGATAGTACATAAGGCTTTGTTAAGTTTCACGGGTATAGGAAATAGTCCGCCACATTATTCTTCGAAGTGCCACATGTGTGTTCCTGTGCCTTTCTCCTTGGGGACCATGGAAGCACCTCATAGCTGAGTACACTCCCTGGAACCCACCAAGAAGCTCATCATGCCACTCTTTGCTTGGGCCTCTGGACCAGAGGGGAATTTAGATGTCCCTTTTCCCCTCCTTTCCAAGCGTGGCATCTGCCACTTGGACATGAGACACTGACCCTTTCTCCCCTTGACTTAGGAAGTTGTCTTTCTCCCCGGCTGGGTCAGTTACAGTCATGTCTGCGGAACACCACTCAGTTACAAAGTGATCTTCCCCTGCCAGGAGGGACCTCTTCTGTAGTCTAGGGGTCTGAGCTCCATCAGGCACCTTACCATCGACGGAATGCCTGTCTCATCACTCTGGGAGGACTGGAGTCTCTGCACTCTGAGGTTAAGCTTTTCAGGAAGCCTTTTCATTCATGTCAGCTTCTTGGAAATGCTAAGTTGACAAAAGCCATTCACTTCTCTCACAGGGCACAGTTGGATTTACAAATGGCTTTGACAGTGAGCATATTTGTTCAAACTGTCCATCTCTTGTGAGGCATGTCCCAAATGCTCTGTACTATTATATTTTGACAGTATAATGGATCAGGTTTCTCTTTTATTTTTTAATTTTTTTTTTTTTTTTTTTTTTTTTTTTTTTTTTTTTTTTTTTTTTTTGCATTGACATAAATTTAAGGGCTGGGGGTGTGGTTTAGTTGGTAGAATGCTTGCCTGTCTTGGTTCCGGTCCCTAGCATTGCATAAAACCAAACCAAAGCATGGTTTATATACCAAGGCAGGAGGGTCAGAAATCCAAGGACATTCTGAGCTACTTGGTGCGTTGAGGCCAGCCTGAGCCATGTTTGAACCCGTCTCCAACAAACAATGAAACAAAACTGTTTTAAAATCAAAACCTTGGGAATCATTGTGTTCATTTTGACATCATAGGGTACCGGTGACAGTTATGGGTAATTCTATGCATAGTTTATTCTGTAAATAAGCTTAGCCTCCAGGGGAAAGGAATTATGCACTGCAAAAATTAGAATTAATAAAAGTCAAGATAATAAATGCACTGGGTTAGCAGAGAAATTCAGGTTACTTAGTGACACTGATGCATAATTGCTTACTAGAGTTGGTGCTAAGAAATGCTAATGCAAAGTCCTTGATTTGGAATGGCCTAAATGCTTGAAAGTCTCAGCATAGTGTGGGGGTGGGTGGCTAATTTCTTATATGGAGGAGACTTGGAGTTTCCATTAAAATAAACCAAAGCCCCACCCCACCCCATTCCCATTGATTTGTATGACTATAATTCCTCTTGGGAGTGCTTATCCAAGGTACAGAGATGTCAAATTCTTAGTTCTGACGAGTTTAGTGCCCTTGGGGGAAAGACAGTGATGTATTTCTTTTGCATATGAAAAGTAGGGGAAAACATATAATTGTAAAACTCCAAACGGTACTCCAATGTGCTTTCTCCATTAGGCACTACTCTTCCCCAGAATCTCAATAATCAAAAACAAAACAAAAAACTCATTGGCTGCTGTATGGCAGCCTGCCCTGCTTATTGGAAGCCTCTGGTTGTGGTTCCCACCCAGGTCAGACAGTTAGAATGTTGGTCAGACCCAAAATCAAAGGCCAGGTGCGTACTTTAACTTCAACGTACTCACTTGGCACTTGGGCTTTTTCTCTCATTCCAGTCTGTTGTTGGTTTGTTTGTTTTGTTTTGTTTTGTTTTTGGACAAAGGATAGACTTTCTAGTGGATTCCCAAGGGGCAATCAGCAAATTAAATCTCTTTATAACTTTATTTTGACTTTCAACCTCATATCCATATCCAAGTGAGTCCAGGATTATTCACATCATTATTGAAGGAGATGACACTTGTAGTTTATAGCGTTAGTTATCTTTAAATCTCTGAATTGTCTTAAATCTTGAGGAAGCATCTGATAGCATGGGCAGACCAGCTTTAGGAATTATAAAATGGGGTATGAAAGGGTCATTAGTAGCCTTTCCTCCATTCTTAAAGGTGTGACCTTCAGTGACAGACCCCAGCCGTTAAGGAGGGCTGCTGAGGCAGGGGACAGGAAGGGCTCACCTTCCTCGTGCTGCCTCCATAGAGCTGACTGGTGTTAAGCCTGGAGTCCCCAGTGATGGCTGTATCCACAGGACAATGACTGTCAGTGCCGCCATCTATGGAAGGGTGCTAACAGGGCACCGGGATACCCAATACTGGATTATTTCTAAATCACTGCATCCAGTCATTAACATCCTGCTTGGTGCTCACATGATTATTTATAGACCCTGCAGTATACCAAAAATCAGCCAGAGTAATAAATCACCTGGAATGAAGGTTCTTGATGAGAAAGTTCCCCTTTGACCACATTTGCAAAGTCCGGACTGCCTTTGATTTATTTTGGGTCATTGATAGATAAATCCGGTTACAGATGGCTAGAGCCTTGCAAGGTGGAAGCTGCTGTATGGGGAACAGCCTGCTTGTAGCCCATTTGCCAACAGTGAAGGTGGACCTGTCAAGCCAGCCATGTAGATGGCTTCCGACCACCTGCCAGCCATCTGGGTTGT